ATCAATCCCAGGTCACCAGTGTGTGTTCTACCCCCACTGTACTATTTCTTCAGTCCAGAAGTGCAATTTTTCTCAACACTTTACTTTGGAGAAAATTAGGGCTCTATAAATTTTATTTACTTCTTGTTTACTTAAGTTAAGGTAGTTTTTAAATTAGCACTTACTTAGAAAGACGTGAGGGCAGAGAAAGAGAGATGTATGTATTAGAGCGAATACGGGCTTCTCTAGAGTGGAAATAAGCAGGTAGAGAAACAGACAAGCAAGCCAAGGGTCTTTTTTTTTTTTTTGCTTTTTGGGTCACACCCGGCGATGCACAGGGGTTAACTCCTGGTCCTGCACTCAGGAATTACTCCTGGTGATGCTCTGGGGACCATACGGGATGCTGGGAATAGAACCTGGGTCGACCACGTGCAAGGCAAACACCCTACCTGCTGTGCTATCACTCCAGCCCCATCCAAGGGTCATTTTCAAATTGCAGAATCATTACTTTAAAAGATTTTACCAGCACAGCTTTTTTGGCCTTCTTTTTTTGTTTCTATAGTTGAAATGGCAATTATGATATTTTTAGTTGGAGCTCTGGGAGAAGCTGTTGCTCACCGTTTTCAGTTTCCTCTCTCCCTGGCTGGCCCCGGGGTTGTGTTCTTTCCTGACCTGTCTTTCTTTTCCCAGGTATGTGGGTGTCCGAGGACTTAGTCATTCTTTTCTCTTTCTATATTTACAGCTTTGATCATCTTGTTTACCTTTGGGATGGAAGTACTATTTGCAAGTGTTGATTATAAGTTCGCCCTTTCTCCTAGGATCCTAACTTGGTCTTCGGAAAGGCATTCAGATGCAGTCACCTGAGTCTAAAATTACCACAGGGCCATAGCCCTCACACTCCCAACTCCCATACCTGTGTCCCTCGGGGCTTCTTTTGTCTGAGTCGATGATGTCTCCTTTGCTCAGACCTGTAACTTAGACATTTGCAACTCTTTCTGCTCTGTTCCACATCCAGCCAGTTGAAAACCCTCATGTGCCAAATTGACTTTTGCATGCCAACTGACCTCTTGGAGATTAGCCCTTCTCCTACCCTTTTGTCCTTCTTGAGATCCTTTCAGAACTCTGTGCTCTGTGGACTCTTCACGCTCTTGAGATTCCCTGTGCATGACCCGAGGGCCTTCGTTCTGCTTTCCATAGTTGGAATGCCCTTGCCCAGTCTGTGCTCTGACTCACTCCTTCATCTCTTCCATTATCCAGTCTCGCCTTTATAAGGATGCTTCTCCCGGCTCACTGGGCAGCTGCCTCTCTCTGTTTCTTCTTGGGACTGCAGATCATTATCTTTTACCTGCTCTGTCTTTTCCATGTACAACATTTCCTGTATGGTAGCCATGAGCCACTCATAGCTCTTTCAATTTTAATTAAAATGATACCTGAGTGAGAGCCGAGAGCACCACGGAGTGTGGCCCCCAAACAAAAAAATAAATTTTAATTATCGAAAATGAAATACAATAAAAACACAATTCTCTTGCCACAATAGTCACATTTTAGGTGCCCAAGATTTGTGTGATTACTGTATTAGATAGACACATTTTCATCTTGAATTTTTATAGAACTGTTCTGCTAGAGAATTACAGATTTATTACCTTTTTTGGAGGGGTGCGGAGAAGAACTCCACAGCAGTGCCAGGAGTTTGAGTAGAGGGAACACTCCTATGTGCCCGCCCTGCTGTGCTGTCCTGACATGGGCATAGTGCTGGGGCCACTAGGCTACACCCAGGGGTGCTTGAGAGCCATGCGGTGTTGGGCTAGAACTTGGGGTTCATGAGTCCCAGGCATGTGCTTCAGCCCATTGAACTATTTCCTGATCCCAAGTTTGATATCTTCAATGTTTCTGTCTATTCTGTCTCCCACACAATCTTCACAAAGGCAGAGGGTTTTCTGTTTTATTTCTAATAGAAAAGTTGCTTAGGTAAATAGATGTTGGGTTGAATGAACTATCCATTTTATTTAAAATAATAAAGTGATTTTAGCCATAAAATAAATATCATAATTAAAATATTTCTACATCACGTTTTATGGATACTCATGGGCATTTGCCTTGCACACGGCCGACACAGGTTCGATTCTTCTGTTCCTTTCAGAGCCCAACAAGCTACCGAGAGTATCCTACTCACATGGCAGAGCCTGGCAAGCTACCTGTGGTGTATTCGATATGCCAAAAACAGTAACAAGAAGTTTCACAATGAGATGTTACTGATGCCCACTCAAGCAAATTGATGAACAACGGGAGGACAGTGCAGTGCTCAGGGCATTATTTCCTCATGATATTTGTTCTTCTTGTTTTATGAACGATGGGCTTGGTACCACACTATGTGTCTCATGGACTTCATTTGACTAAAGATGGTGTGTATGAAGTAGAAAATCCCCCTGCTAAATATCAGGGAATGGGGTGAAAGAAGGTGACTATAGCTGGAACTTGAACTTGGAACATATAGCTCTCAGTATGTCTGATTCCTGGTTGTGAGAATCTAGCCAGTGCTCAGTTACTCTGCTTTCTGAATTCTAGATTAATTTTTTTGGTAGTTCTGTTTTGGGGCCACACCCAGCGATGCTCAGGGCTTACACCTGGCTCTGCCCTCAGGAATCACTCGTTTGGGTGCTCGTAGAACATACTGGGGGTTGATCCTAGGTGCAGGGTAAGTGCCCTACCTACTGTACTATCTCTCCAGTCCCCGAATTTTACGTTAATTTTACAATTCAGATTAAATCTGACCTTCTGCTCATCATCTGTGTATAGAAGGATTAAAGTTAATATTTTTTACAAAAAAGGAAATTTTATGCTTAATGCCGAGTTGTCTTGGAAACACAGTGAGTTAAGGATCAAGTTTTATTTAAAACCTTGATTTACTTGAGTTAAGATCTTACATTTTAGTAACCTAAAAATTTACCCAAAATAACTGACATGAAATACATTTTGAGAATTGCAGTTAGTCATAGAAGAAGATTTCCCCTGTCACTTCTAGATTGTTCTGATTGTAACCTCCATTTATTGATTTGATCTCGTGGATATTTGCTCTTTCCAAGGGCTGGGGGCAATGTTGGGAAGAAGAGAGGATGAATAAATACGACTTCCTAAAAATGTATGCAGAAATTTGCAGTGAAAACCGAGTTTACTTTTTTCCAGCTTTCTTATTTGTGTTAAGGTTAGAGTGATTGAAATTTAATCCCTTTAATAAAGTAGGATAAAAACAGTAATAATAGAAAGGCCTAATGAGTATTTCCTTTTTGTCGGAGTCTAGGCTAAGGCTCGTTACATGCTTAATTGTAACAAATTTCTTTGATGTTTTTTTTCCTGAGGAATAATTATAGTTAAGAAAATTATCTTCAGGGTTGGAGAGATAGTACTGTGGGTAGGGCGCTTGCCTTGCATGTGCCGATCCAGTTTTGATACCTGCATATGCAGTCCTCTGAGCATCATTAGAAATGATCCATGAGCACAGAACCGGAAGTAAGGTCTGAGCACAACTGGGTGTGGACCTAAAACAAAACAAAGACAAAAAGAGAAGAAGAGGAAGGAGAAGGAGGAAAACGATGCTCCAAAGATAGTTACTAAATGAGAGGGAGCGTGCTTCACCTCACTCCCATCTTTCCCAAGAACCAGAGTGTGTCGTCTTCTAAAACGGCCTGGACGTAATTGGGAGAAATAGCTGCATAAAGGAGATCCATTTTTCTTTTTTTTTTTTTAATTATACTTTTTAAGTTCAGCGGAGTCTTTCAGAAATGCGTACTATCTGTATTGGAGCCCAGAGCACAGGCAGTGCTTATCAACCCACGAGATTGCAGATGGGGTCTCCATGCGGAGTGCGCTGACTGTGCTGCTCCCGGTGTCCCAGAGGTTAATTGCTTGGTTTGCAATACCTGCCCGATGCTGGGAAGTTTAAAAGATATTTTCAGCTTCTCACTCCGGAAGGAACTACGGATGATTTATTTGCCCCTCATCTTGTCTCTACCTTAGGGTCATCTGGGAACTTTTAGGTGTGAACAGGCTTCTGGTTCTTAAAGTTGATTGGACATTGGAATCACCTAACAGACTTAAAACTGCCTTAGCCTGGATTCACCCTCACAGATGAGTCTGATCTATTTGCCCTGGGTGTGGCTGGTCCGGAACCATGTTATCAGGAATATTAGAAAGACATAGAACTTTAATTTACTTGTCTATTTTAGGGTTTCCCAGGTGGTACCCAGAAGGCCTGGGGCCCCATTATTTTCAGCCAGCCAGGCAGTTCAGTGCTGCCTGGTCCCTGCAGTGCCAGGGACATGTGCCACCCGGTGATGCTCAGGGGCCTACAGTGCCGCGCTCAGCTATGCTTGCAGGGGACCACATGGTCCTCAAGGTTCACCACATTCATGATGTGCAGAAATTCCTGGACTGTCTTCCCAGCCCCAGAATTTTAAAAGTTCTTCAGGTGATTTAAATTAGAAGAAAAGGTTGAGAGCCTCTGGTACAGGTGAGCAGAATGATCCCAGTGTGAATCCATAGATGACAACTGCAGGTTTCTCTTCTTTTTTTTTTTTTTTTCCTCGTCCATACTTTTGGGCCATTTGTATTTAGATCAGAATAGTGAGGAATAGAAGGAGAAAGTGATTGGCGTCTAATAGGCTCTGCTTTTTCTGACTAGATCAACTGCATTTGTTTTCTGGATTAACATGAAAGACTGCTGAGCCAAGCAAATTATGGGAAGTTACACGTTCTGTGTTCCAGATAATGAGTTTACCACCGTTGCTTGTATTGATGTGGTTTAATTGCTGGTAGAGTTGGGATGAGATTGCTGACGGATGTAATAATATAGTCCTCCACCCCTGTGATTGCCACTGGCCCTTTTATATGTTTTTGGCCATTATTCAGAAAACGAATTTCTCCTCGTTAACCAAGAACCATTAAGAAGAATTAAAATTAATAATTCCAGCAATATCCTTCCTCTGTGTACTGCTGAGCTTGTTCCTTTTTACTTCTGATTCCAGGAGTACCGGGTGTCAAAGAAGACCGCTTTGAGGAAGGAATGAAAGTAAAGCACTGTGCACTGTCCCTCGTGGGGGAGCCCATCATGTACCCAGAAATCAACAGGTTTTTGAAGTTACTGCATGAATGTAAAATCTCTAGTTTCCTGGTCACAAATGCACAATTCCCCGAAGAAATCAGGTAAGTGGTTCAGCTTGTTACGATACACTGCTTGAATCTGCACTTGACTCTAAAATTTACTAGTCAGTGAAATTCAGGGGCTGGAGTGATAGGACGGTGTATAAGGTGTTCCTAGTATCCCTCCCACCCCCCACCCCCCATCCCCCCCTGCCTCAGTGGCAGGGCATTCCCTTTTGTTCTCTCTTATTGGGTGTTGTGGTTTGCAAAAGAGGCAATGGGTGACAATCATGTTTGGTCTATAGTCTACAAGAAAAGGACTTTTTAAATTAAAAATTTATTTTGTAGATACTGAACAATGAGGTGTAACTTGCCTCGCACATGACAGACCCGGGTTCAGTCTCTGGCACTCTTTATGGTCCCTCAAGCACTGCCAGGAGTGATTCCTGAGCACAGAGCCAGGAATAAGCCCTGAGCATCACCAGGTGCGGATAATTGTCAAATACAGAAAGACACCTTCTATATTTGTAGAGCAGTCAGTCACTGAGCTGGACAGATGGCACAGGGGGGTATAAGCTTTGCATATGGGAACCCCAGGTTTGATCATCACCACCACTGAGCCTCCAGAGCACCGAGCCAGGAGTATCCATGATAACTGCTGGGTATGGCCCAAGAATAAACGAAAAGAATCCTCTATTATATATGCATATATATATATATATATATATATATATATAATTTAACATCACAAGAAATCAGAGAATTGATTTAAATTATTTCTACCAGACTACAAAGAGAGCTAAAACCTTTGAAGTTGTATAAAAAGGTAAAGTAGAGGTACATTAAACTGGAGGTCTGGTTGACTGAGAGTTAAGGTCTATCTTTAAACCCAGGCCTCCTGAGCACCACTTGAGAAGAACTGCTCCCCCTAACCCCCCAAAAAAAGTAAGGAAAATTTTTTATTATTATTTGTTTTTAACTGATGGAGATTTTGTGATTTACAATACTGGATCTGGACTTTTTTTTAACTGTTTTTTTTTTTTTAAATTTTCCAGCAATGCTCAGGGCATATTCCTGCCTCTGCGCTCAGGGTCTGCTGTGGGGTGCCAGGGATCAAACCTGGCCCGGCTGTGTGCAAGGCAAGCACCCTGTTTGCACCCTACCTGTACTATGACTCTGGCTCCAAATTTACAATACTGTTAATGGTGGTTTCTCATGCATATGATCCCAGTACCACACCCATTACCAGTGTATCCTCCCCTCTCTTCCAACTCAGCTGTGTGAATTAGTTCTCCTGTTGTGTTACCTTTGGTCCTTTGTTGCTGTCTTGCTGTGTATCTCTTTTTTTAAGAAAAAAATTTTATTGGTTTTTGGGCCACACCAGGAGATGCTCAGGACTTTTTCCTGGCTCAGGAATTACTCCTGGAAGTGCTCAGGGGATCATACGTGGTGCCAGGGATCGAGCCTGGGTCTGCCATGTGCAAGGCAAACACCCTATCTGCTGTACTTTTACTCTGCCCCCTTGCTGTGTATCTTTAAGTTCCACATGTGAAAGAGATAATTTTGTGTCTGTCCTTTTCTGACTGACTTCACTCAGCATGCTATCCTCTAGTTCCATCCATATTGCTACAAATTATATGATTTTGTTCTTTCTTAGAGCTGCATTGTATTCCATTGCATATCTAGACCATAACGTCTTTATCCATTCTTTTGTAGTTGGGCATTTGGGTTAGTGCCATATCTTAGCTATTGTAACTAGTGCAGTGATCAACATAGGTGTACATATATTCTTTCAAAGTAATGTTTTTTGTATTTTGGGGATAGATGCCCAAAACTGTTATCACTGGTCGTTCTGTTTCTAATTTTTAGATAGATTGCTTTCTTTAGAAGATAAACATATGACATTAGTGGATAAACGGATAAGAAAAGTGGATAATAAAGCTATAATAATTAGAACTGGATGGTACTGGAGGTAAAGATAGACCTGAAAACCAATGGGACAGAATTGAGCTAAACCCCCAGATTTATGGACAGCTAATCAATGATAAAGAAACTATGATAAATATGCAAAGTGAAGCAAAGGAAATCTCTTCAACAAATGGTTATAGGAAAACTGGATAACCACATGTAATAAAATGAATTTAAAATTGTACCTCACACTATTCCCCAAAGTAAACTCAAAATGGATTAGAGATTAGACCAGAATACATAAGCTAATGGAAGAAAACATCAGCAGAACTCTCCAGTAAATTGACCATAGCGATGTCTTCAACTAGACCATTAGTCTTCAACTAGTCTTCAAGTAGAGCACAGAGGCAAAGACAACAGAAGCAAAAATAAACAAGTGGGACTATATCAAATTAAAAAGCTGCAGTCACAGAAACTCAAGCTGTATTAAAAGACACCCAGCTGAATGGGAGAAACTATTTGTACACAATACAGTAGATAAAGGATTGAAGCCTGTTGTGTGAATATTCTTTTGGAAGCCCCGAGATAAAATTGGTCTGAAGGGCTACTAGCAAGCTCTGGCAAAAGTAGCAGAGGAGGAGAGCCACTTTTCTTTACTATCCTATGTACAGGCCTCGAATGAACTCAGTACAGAGAAGTCATTAACTGGGGATGGGGGTGGGGTGGGGGATGGGGTTACAGGAGGGACAACAAAGCATCAAAGAATACTTTGTTCTGTTGAGTCTACAAACCAAATGGTCAACATTCTCTGGGGAGGAATGCAAGGTGGGATCTCTGGGCTCCATAAGTTACAACCCCTCACACCTGATGTGGTAGAAGGGGTGAGAGAGTGTCAGCATTCCAAAGCCAAGCTGGGTTAGAGATGTGTGAGAAAGGGAAGACTGCTTCTTTGTTATACTAGAATTTAAATTGAGGCCAAGAGAGCAGAGGGAAGAGATGTTAACCGTTTCCAGGTCAGCGGGACTCCTGAGTCAGTGCCTCATCCATTGTCATGGGGTCCAGGGTCCTGTCCATTTGCGGGTCAGTCTCCGAGGACTCGTCCTATAAACTGACTAGGCACCAACAATAGCCAACCTCTATAAAGCACTCAGAAAACTCAGCAACCAAAAAATCCAACAGTCCCCTCTACAGATGGGGTGAGGAGATGTACAGACACTTTCTCAAAGAAGATATGTGAATGCCCAACAGGCTTATGACAAAGTGCTCATTGTCATTCATGATCAGGGAGACACAAACCTAAACAGTGAGATGCCTTCTCACATCTGTGAGAACAGCACATACCAAAACGTCTGGAATCAGCCATTGTTAATGGGGTTGTAGTGAGAAAGGAAATGTTATTTAAGGAGCTGGAGCAATAGAACAGTGGGTAGAGGTAGCCTTACATGCTGCTGACCTGGGTTTAATCTCTAATATCCCATATCATTTCCGGAGACTCCAGGAGTGATTCCTGACTGCAGAGCCAGGAGTAACCCCTGAACATCGCCGGGTGTGGCCCCAAAACCAAAAAGAAAAAAGAAAGAAAAGTTACTTAAAAGTTTTGTGAGGTTTTTTAGAGTCACCATTCTTTTTGATTAGATTGTTGTTGGTTTCAAATCTTTTCATATGGGTCTTGAAGGGGAAGCTGAGATAGAGTGTTGTTTGGATACATGTGTGCATACACATTTGCACACACACACATACACATACACAAAGTCTATTCCAAACTTTTTTTGTTTATTGTTTGTTTTGGGGGTCACACCTAAAGATCCCCAGGGATCTGTATTCAGGAATCACTCCTGGCGGTACCATATGGGACCCCCAGGATCAAACTCAGTTGCTTTTGTGCATGCTGCTGTATTGTCTCTCCACTCCCTTTTTCAAACTTAAGGCATTAAGAATTGGATCAGGGTTGGAAGATATTACAGTGGTTAGGACCAGTGTCTAGAACATACTCAGCCTAGTTTGATTCTCAGAACATTGTCCTCTGTATATGGCCCGGTCACACTGTGGAGGTCCCTGAGCATTGCTTGAGTAACCTGACTACTCTCTGGTACTGCATACTGTCCATTCTCATGCCCTTGCATTGACTTGCTGACCAGAGATTTGCCAGTGGGGTCCCCAGGCCACCTGATCACAGCTTGGGCTGACTTTGCTGGGAGTGTTATATGGTAATTCTCAGCAAAATAATAACCAGAAAGGATGATTGATTGCTTGTTTGAACATGGTTTTTTTTTTTGTAGATGTCATTATAGAGTGAGGAAAATTATAAAGACTTGAATAATGTGAAAGTATCTAGCAAAATGCCTGGACATAGTGAAAATTTAGTTGATTAACGACTCTCCCCCAATTTTGATAATGAGCCTTTTCTTTTTTTTTTTTTTTTTTTTTTAATTTATTTATTGAATCACTGTGGGAAAGGTTACAAAGCTTTCAGGTTTATGTCTCAGTCATGCAAATATCAAACACATTTCCCTTTACCAATACTTATTTTTTACCATGAAGAACCCCAATAAAACCCCACCCCCCACCCCTCCCCGTCCCTGTGAGGCAGATGAATTCTAGTTAACACTCTATCTGCTTTGATTAGATTCATTGTTTCAATAAAAGATTCACCACTATTATTTAGAGTTTACCCCCCCCCCCCCCAAATCAGACATGCTGAAAAAGCATTGTGAAGTGATTTGCTTTCTACGGCTGGGTTCAAGAATTAAATGTTGGTTTTGGATTTCTGAAATGAGCCTTTTCTTGTCTCCAGGAAGGTAAAGATATGATGAGATGTTTGCACTATTTTTGACCGCTATCGATAAAAAAATGGGAAATCATGGTGTATAGTTCCAAATAAATCATCCTCAATAGATTAAGCCAGTTTTTAAAGTTTGTGTTCTGGTCAATTGGGAAACAAAAAGGAAGAAGTGAAGTGTCAGGGGTGGTTGGACAGACCGTGTAACAAATTCCTTCAATGTTGAACAGAAATTGTTTAAATATTGGAAGTGTGGATTTTAACGAGGGATATGCGAGTCTTCTTTAAACTTCAGGCATTTCAAGTCCCATGGTGGAAGGAATCACATTCAGTTTTAGTTGCATCTTTTCCTGGGCAATGGAGGAAAAAAAAAACT